TTAGTGATGATTGGTTTTACTGCAACCAGATCGATCAATTCTTTAACGATGATTGTGAAATGTAATAATATCTACCAACAAATTAAAATATACTGTATATACTGTATAATAAATATAATAAATTTTCTTTTTAACACAGCATCCCCTAGCTTTGAAAGATCAACAAGTTTTAAATACTTTTATTTAAACCATTAAATATGTAAATTATTATGTCGACAGAACATACCGGTAAATTTGACTCAGCTTAGTGATTCAATATAATAATTGTACTTAATGGATATTGACGATGTTTAATACAGAAATCATAATCTTCTCATCTTCTCATGTAATAAATAAAGGCACCCAGAAAAATGTTTACCAGGTTGGGTTCGGACGAAGGTCCGGAAAATGTCTTCGAATTTTTATTTCATTTTATTTTCTTCTTACGATAATATAAAGCAATAATTAAGGCAATTTACAGCACATATCTAATTCATGAATAATGCAAATAAATTTTGAATTTGACATTATATAGTTTATTTCTTTTTAACCATTTGGTTTGTTTTCTGTGACGTTCTTCGATAAACTATTACTCTTTTTGCAGTTAATCATTCTTCACGCCGTTCATTTCAGACTGATCAATACTTTCTTTCTGAATATTTGTTGACTGTGATGAAATTTGGTGAAATAGATAAGATGTTAACTTGTCTATCGATAAAGTTTTGACTTTTTGTATCCTTCTTGAAACATTCAATGTCACAAGAAGTTGGCTATTATTCTTAACGTTACTAATGATAAGATGAAAAGCTTTTCAATAGATATTATATGCTTATTAGATCTTAGTTGCATATAGTTATTAAATAAATTTTGATTTATTATTGATTAAATATCTTTTTTAGACGGCTGAACATTTCACATTTGGCTATTATAGTTTCAATTTTTGACTCATAAGCGACGAAAGTATTTGGCAAAGTAACATAGGTAGATTTGATATATTCTATGATATTGTTTGCCTAAGTCCTAATTTGATGATTTCTTGCTTGTAATCAACAAAATAAAGCTTACTATTAAAAAAAAATGCTTATAACAAACTTTGCATCGCTTTTCTTTTTTTGCAGGAAAAAAAAAAACAAACGAAAAACATTATTGACCTATTATAATTTAAATAATGATAAACTAATGACAATAAAATTTTATTTTATTAGAAAGATGCGTACGTACGTAATTTTAGTTCAAATTCCGGCTGTCATACTGTTGTTCTGACCTAGCTTTTCGGACAATCATCGAATCCCAACCTGGTACACATTTTCCAGGTGCTAAATAAAGGTTTTACGACGTCAACATCGATTAATAGATTTGCCGCTGTGAAATTTAATAAGCCTCTTAAATGCATTGCGAGATAGTAATGAATATTCTTGTTTTATCGAAATTTACAGAGTGTACGATTTGACGGATAAAAGTGTCAATCTTGTTTACCTTTTTTTTTAAAAAAAAAATTATTCTTATTGATTTAATGATGATTAGGCCACGCAAAGTTGATTTTTCGTTTTGCGCTGACCCATTTTTTTCAAATTTCAAAAAAAAAAAAATTTTTTTAAAAAGTCCAATTGTGCCAATTATTCTATTTTTGCATTTAATTTTTTTTTCATAAATTAATCTGTTATCATCCAACAGGCCCTTTAATTTTCTAGAGCTATCTGATAGGGCTTATAGAAAAAAAAACAACTGCCGACCGGAATGTAATGCAAAACGAAAAATCAACTTTGTGTAGCCTTATCCTTTATAAAAATAAAATTTTTATTTTAGCCCATTGGAGGGATTTGAATAAATATTCACTTCACTATTTAATTGTTTCTAGATTTTATTTACGATTTGTTTGTCGCTCTTTTCGACTCAATTAGTAATTTTTTTTGTCCTGTGAGTCCGTGAATACAATATAAACAATCACCTTATTTTTGGCTTATTTCGGAAACCTATTTATCAATGAAATGGGAAAATATAATGAGTCCCACAAAATACTACGAAGTTGAAGTGATTACGTATCATACAATTTCGCAAAACATATAAACTTTCAATTGCTAAAATTTTTTTACTAAAGCGTTATTTAAAAAACTGACCTATAACATTATTCATTGTAATAAGCACTTCAAAGTAATTGGTTAATTTTTTCAAAATATATTGTATGTAATAAGGGTTAACGTTATGAATATTTTTGATTTCTGATCACATGATTGGCGATTATAGATTTCTGGGATCATATAAAAATAGAGTGCAAGTGGTATTCAAATATACAGAAATTTAAAGTATTTTATAACATGTAAAAACTTGTACATCTCTTTGAGTATTATATTATTGTAGAAAATTATAGAAAATTTATTGGCGAAATGATTATTAGTGATGTAACTTTTAGAAAATTGTAACAGAACCCTATTATTTGTTTGGTATGTCACTGGCTAATATACAAAATTTATTAAGAGCATTATGTATAAGAGTAATATAACGGTATAAATCTATAATTTGATTAAATATTTAAAAAATTCTATAGAGATTTCACAAATTAATATTAACTATTATGAAATATTTGACCAAGGCTAATATTAATCATTATCTTATTTATGGTATTCTTGCTTCTTTACAATTTATCTTCTTTTTTTCTCATTCTTAATATTCAGCCTTTTTTCCTTTCACTTCTTGATGGTTCTTTTGCTTTTCTTGAACTTTCTTTTTCTTTTCTACGTTTTTATCTTTCCTTTCACCAGCTTTCACTTTTTTGTCATCGCTCTTCACTTTCTTATTAGTATCTTTCGCATGCTTTTCATCCGATTTCTCATTTTCATGCGAGAATTTAGCTTCCGTGTTGTTATTCTTCTTGTCCTTTTTGTCATGTTCCTCGTTGTATGTATCTTGTTTCAAATTCTTATTCAAGTGTTTCTTATTCTCCGAGCCATAATATTCTTCATTAGCTTTGTATTTCTTTTGTCCGTTTTTATTAATAATTTCTCCCTCTTCCTGTTTCTTTGATGCGTGTTGCTTATTCTTTTCATCTTTTTGCAATTTCTCATTTTTGTGACTCAAATTCTTTTCGTCATGTTGCTGTTTCGTTTTGTCATGATTCACTTTCACATGAGCTTGAGACTTCTTCTTTGTACCATGTTTTTCGCCCTTTTCAAATTGGTTCTCTTTCGAGTCTACGTGTTTAGCATTCTTTTCGACATTTTTGTTGGTCTTTTCATTTTCGTTCTGTTTCTTAGTAACATGTTTCGCTTTTGTGTTGTCTTCTTTTGCTTTTCCTTCTTCGTAGGATTTACCAGGAGAACGTTTTCCAAGAGCCAAACCTATCGAACAAGAATAAATATTAAAATTAATAGATAGGTTACTAAACATAAATATAAATAATTGATTATGTAAAAAAATATATTTACCTAAGTCATTGGTATTGTCTTCTCAAATATAATTAGTGACAATAAGTAAGTTGAATATATGAGATCATAAGTATAATCAAATAATACTATAAAATTAATACCTCTTGGAGTTGGAACAGCCAAAGTGCTGGCAGCGAGAAGAACCAAAGATACTGTAGCAATGTTGAACTTCATGGTAAAAAAATCTGTTTAATGAATTTTGGTTTAAAAAAAATTTTTTTTTTGTTTTCTATTATAAATTTGATTCTAGGCAAATACGAAAGGTTTTAAGAAACGAACAATTCGTGCAGAACTGGAGAAGTTCCAAAGGCCCACTTATATAGATAAAATTTTGGAATAATGTTAGATATGAAATCTATTTTACATTGATTATCGTTAAAGAGATTTCATTGTAAATAAGTTAAATTAGGAAGATTAATTAATCTTGCATGTATTGGCATAATTTAATTAAACCTTGCATTATTAATTTAAGCTTCGTCAAGACATAATAAACCTTTAAGTGCAACATGTAAGAACCAACCTTTTGACAAAATTCATTTAGAGAACGAATAAGAAATTTTGTTTTCATAAAGATTAAGTGTATAGTTAGGCCTGAATGCATTTAGAGAGGTTGCACCTAGATAAACTTTGGCGCTTCGCTACGAATGAACAATTAGTATAGATTCTAATTTTCTAAAAGTAAAACAAAAGTCTATTTGTTTGTACACACCTTTTAAAATAATATAAATATTATCCCCTTAAATTATATGCATTAAAAAATTAACCTCACCATTATATTGCAGTATGCATGCATGCATTTTGATTTTAGTAATTGAATTTAATACATCGTATGATGTCGCCAACAGAAAACCTTTTCCGAGAAAAAAAATGCCACCGGAGTTCAATTATTGCTCTCCGGTATGTAAACTTGAAGCATTCGATAATAAATTTTCTTTAATGGTATCTGTATACTACAAATCGAAGGTTCTAGGCATAGAATGATGTTTCCGAGTTTTATAATTAATAAAATATAATCTTGGCTTAAAATTTAAGATTTTATATTATTAAAAATTTAATAAAGAGATATCGTCTTTCAAATTTACCTTGTATGTAAGTATATGCATTGAAATATTTATTGCATTAAAGGTGGTCCGTTAAATCCAGGTTCGTTTACATATTGATTTACTATTTTGTAAATTATATTCTTGATATCTATATATAATACACAATTTCAAATCGCAATTTGATTGGCTAGACAATTTTTGCACACAATTTTGACTGTCATAAAAAACAAAAGGGCCTTCCGACGGGATTCTAAAAACCTAATTGTACAGTACGTATACTTACATGCAAATAGTAATAGAACAGCCCAGACCACGGGAAATGAAGTTTAACTCACGTGTGAATCGACTCGCATATACGGTGTTGCTATCGAAATTTTCTGCGCCTCAACTTTTTTATTTTCCCTGGCTCTTAAACATCTGTTATCACCCCTGCACCATCGTTATTTGATCATCACTCCGTTAATTCTTATATAACGTTAAACAGTCCCACATGATTATCGTTCATCCCTTTCTTATCTATAATTTCTATACATTTTTGCGGAATGGATCTAAATTAGGGTCCTTGGATTTAACAATTGCAGGATGCATAACGATAATAGCTGAAATTTCGGGGTCGGGTTTACAATCGCATTGTTAAAATATATGGACCTTAATTTCGCAAATTCGCCGATATGACTATTATTATTGGTATAGTTATTCTTAATTCTATCTATAGTTATCTCTTTTTCCTTATTTAGACTTCTATAGCTATACTTCTTCTTCTATAACCGATTTTCATTCTAAATTACTCTGTGACGCGTGAAGATAAATTGGTTCGCCCCAGGAACAATACTAAACGTCGTGAACAATTAGGCATTCGCTTCTTGCTAGCCTGATGAGGAGTTAGTATAGAAGGTTGTCATCTGGATGTAAGTCTTTAATTGGTTAAAGACGCGAAGGGAAAGTGCAATCGGTGTTGGTGGAGATAAAGCTTTGTAATCAACAATCGAATGTTGGAAGGAAGTGGTTCATCGTGTATCGGGGATTCTAAGTAGCTGACATGTATAAAAACCCTCTGAATTCGCCTTGCTTTTATCTTCAGGTTCTATGTGAGTGATTCCGCCGTAGCATCGTATCTTTTAAATTCTATTGTTTGATTTGTGGTGTATTATTTACTCTGTTTGACTATGCGCATACATATACTATACTGACTTATATACACACAGACTAAACCTTATATTTATATAAGTTTACATACTCGCACATACATATTTAACACATTTCCAATTTATCGATTACTATCCTGAATTAAACTGGCCCGTTCATTTTCTAAGCTCTCCTATTTTTGGTATTAACAACGGTAAGAAAACATAAACCTAATTTATTTAAAAAACAAATACGACTATAACTTAGGAGAATTTCAAATGCCTAACACATGATTGTAAAAACAATTTTTAGAGATAAATTTCGGCAGCCCGATGCGAATATGTATATCGTTTCACCGGAAATTAGCACTTTTCATTTTTCTTTTGATATTTTTATTAATTTGATAAATGATAATCACCGGCCATCAAAGAAAGAATTAATCATCTCTAAATACAGGAAACGTTAAAGCCAGGTGCGTTAAAGGTACTTTTTTGATATATAATTAGGGTAGTGATTAATATGTATATCAAGAATATAATTTATGCAGTATGTAGATTAATATAGTTAACGAACCTACTTTAACGTTTTCCCATTAAAGCAATAATTTAGGAAAATCGTATATCAATATTTACACTGCCCCACATGTAATATTAAGTACTTGCATATGTCGTGCTTAAATTTTCTTCAGGTTCAAAGTTGGAAAAAATATATATATATTCATCCGATTGGTGAAAATAATGCATAAAATTTATGAATTTTAAATTATTGTTAATATGAAAATAATCCATTATTGAATCCATTGTACATATTTTAATTACAATTACCTACTGCCTTGTTTTTTTGCGAAATAACAATTTGGCGTTAAAATGGTATGCATAGTTTTTTAATGCATCCCACACTCTATAGGTTAATTTTCGTTTTGCATTACCCGTCGATCTATTTTCTCAATTTTTAAGTTATTGTTTTTTTCCCATAATTTATCCGTTATTACTCGGTAGAGGCCCTGATGTTCCGTAAATATCCGATAGGACCGACAGAAAAAAATTTGATAACCCAAATTTCTGATTCTATGTTATGCAAAGCGAAAAATTAACTTAGCGTGGCTTTCATCAGGAAATTTTGAAACTGACTGTAATTGATTATTATCTGATGATTGTAATCGATTATTATCACCACCGCCGATTACACACGATAAAGATATTTATTAATTATAATTAATCGATTATAATCGATTTACAGCTGTTTTCATAAATTCTAGGACACCTAAAAATTTTCTCGTTTCCCGAAACCTCTTCGATCTCATTCTAAGAATCACCTACCTTTTCGGAAACTAC